AAAGATACGGAATCACTAAGCTTTTTTATATTCTCTTTCATACGATCAATATTTCTTTGAAGAAAATTTCCCACCGTTGATTGAGTGGAAATTCCGGCGAGCGCAATATTCTCAGGATTAAGATGTGCCGTGTCCTGACCGATGGATATATGTCCCGTCGGCATCGGCCACAGATTACCTGTGCCGCAGGATAATTCGCACACATCAAGAGAAACCGGGTTGTTGTCTTTTTTCGTAATTAGTGTCTTCTTGCACGTGCCGGTATCGCACTTGTAGTGCCAAGGAGAACTGCATTTTGAAAAAGAGAGAATTTGGTATTTTTTCCTAACTTTTTAATTTTATATATCTACACTGAAAAAAAATCTTAATTTCAAAGAAATATCTCTTGTGCTCGTTTTTCAAAAAAATTATTTATTTGGATCAATGAAAATTTCTTTGAAAATAAGATATTGTACTTTCAAAGAAATAAGATATTGTATTTTCAAAGAAATTTTCATTGATCCAAAGAAATAATTTTTTGGGATATGAGCAAAGAAATATTTCTTTAAAATTAAGATTTTTTTTTAGTATAGCAATAATTTCATGTAAATAATAATATATTCAGTATATTTTTAAGGGAATAAATAAAGAAATAATAAGAATTAATAAATTTTTTAGTTTAATTAAAGACTAAAGAGAATTAAAGAATAGATGTATAAAATTGAAAAAAATTAAAATTATTAAAATAATAAATCGAATGTCACATACTTGATTGTAACTATTTAAATCTTATTCATATATATCTTCTGTTATATATCTTCTGTATAGTCTTCTATAAATTAGTAAAATAATAACAACATAATTATGATAAATTAAAATTTTATCTTATTTTTACATTTATTTATCAATAGCATCAACTAATTCGCAATAAATATTACACGCAATACATGGTATTATATACGGATGTTACGCGCAGAATTATTTGTTTAATATGTTGTCTATTATAGGAGTGCATAAAGTACGTAATAATGTACTCAATGAATACAAAGCTCATAATTGAAGTACTTTATTTATTCAAAATTTTCATATTGAAAAAATATTTATTCATGAACATATTTTATAATTATTTTACGAGTATTCATATTTATTTAAACAAAAAAGTATACTAAAAAAAAGACATCTCCAATAAACAATCCTTTGTCCTTCATTGTAACTAATGATCCATAGTAAATATTCAGTAAATATAAATATATAAATATTTTTATATTTTTTATCCTCCAAGAATAAGTCAAATATAAATAAAATAATAAGCCTTCGCGGTTGTTGGTGTGTAAATAATATAAGTGTAAATATTATAAAGTAATAAGATACAATTTGCAAACAATTGAAATATATCCAAATTCCAATTTTAAATAGAAAAGTAAAGCTGACAACAGAATTTAACATAAAAATAATAAAATAAATGACCTTTCGTCGCAAAAGCGTATCTAAATATGTATTTATTAAATATAAATAAAATACAATATAAATATTAACCAGTTGTTGATAAGTAAATAATATTTACAAAGTGATAAGATATAATTTGTGAACAATTAAACTATACTTACCGAATGACAAATTTTTGCAATTAACTTATCAGCCTAATTTTACTTTTTAAAATTATATTTTATTATGTCTACAATTATAATAAAAAAAAAATCCTTTCATAAAAAAACGTAAAATATTATTTTACGTTTACATATAATTTTACCAGAAGACAAAAATAATTCTTATCGTTAAGAAGAGAAGAGGCAGATTATGTCTGCCTTATTACTGTTCACCGTTACGACGGTCGTGAAAGGATTTCTAAGTAGCCGTTCACGCTGTATTCAAATCCGAGAAGTGCGAGAAGTAGTAGGAACTCAATAATTTTGCAAATGTCTTTGAACTTCGGGAAGACGTCGAGGCGATCGATGCGGTCTATTTCTCAGTGAATCCACCCACTTGTTGCTTTCACCATGTAGGTATCCGGTGAATTACCTTTCTATTTAAAACTAACATTCACGCAGTTGCAATAAAATAGTAATTATTATTACTTGACCGCTTTAAAGAAAGTACTTTTTTATGCATCGCTCATCACTTTTTAAACGATAAAAAGATTACTCTCCGCCCCCCTCCCCCTGACAACTTATTAATGACAATTCAATGAACTTTTTATTGCTTAAAAAAATATTTTTAAAAGCGTACGAGATGTACGCGCTAATTTCAACCACGTGTAGAAACAAATGGTGACAATTATATAGAGAATGTAATAAAATTCGCTTGGTATCGAAAATTAAGAGATTTGACATAATTTTGAAGAATCAAAATCTAGATATTAAAATCTAAATTTACTAAAATTATACCGTTTCGAATTTGATCATATATATCTTGATATCAAAATATGAAAATGATATCTACATATTTCTATCCAAAAATGGCCAGGTAATTAATGCGAGTTGCATTTTCTTGTATCTACGGTATCGAACAATATTTGATGAAGTTAAAACGGGACAAATTTGTCAGCATAGTACTCACGTGAACCTCTCGGCTCCATTGGCACCGTATTGGAGCGCGAGAATGACGATCAGTAGTGCGAACATGCCGCTTAAAGTGATCGCCAGGCTACTGACTGTCGAACGCTCGATTGTCGTCCGCGGAATGATTTTATCCTTCGCTCAAAGATTGCATTCATCTGTGTTTGCGAAGTAGAGGGGAAAAAGCCGAGTGGGGCAAACCAATATCTTTAATGTGCGAAAAACGGCACGCACATGGAACGCAAATTATTTCGCTGCATCACAGTGGATTCTGTTATATAAAAACTAAAGTTTTATATATATATATATATATATATATATATAAACACTATATATAAAAAATTATATATATGTATATGTATATATATATATATATATATATATATACTTTTTATACATATATACAATATGTATACACATAACACAACAAATCGCAAATAAATTGCAGAGATATCGGCTTAAAAATTGCACCGTTTTCATATCTAATATTTTTTTTCAATATAATGTAGATCTAGAAAATTATATAATTATTTATTTTTAATACAATAAATAATTGTTTTACATAAATATTCATCCATATGCATCGAAAATTAAATTCCTCTTTTTCTCAGTTCACTGAATTTTACTGTATTATTTCTGCAATATAACACACGTAGTATACGTAATTGAAAGTAAATATCAAATATTCACTCAGCTGTTCCTCATTGCAAAATATTTGTACGAGATAAATATATTATCATAATGATTTTATATAATTGTATGCCTTATATCAAATTAAATTATACTATTTGGAATTACGTGAAGTTTATAGTTGCGATTATTGAACTCTTAACATATTTTACATTATTACAATTATAAGATTAGTTATAAAATAAATATACCTGTTTCATTAACTGCAAATTGCATTTGACATTTAATGCTTTCCATTTGGTGATACAAGTTATGACAAACGTCGTTCTATATTTTTCTTGACATTCGATAAGACAGAAAGACACTTGTGTAGACTTATGTCATCAAATGGAAAGCATCATTAATAGATAATTATCATCATATCTTAATGTATAATACAAATTTTCCTGATTACATCCCTTCCTTTAAACTTTGACAATTGATTTCTAAATTATTTCAGTTTTTTATCCCAACTATGTCAATCGATTTATTTATTTATAGCAATATTTATTTATAGCAATATTTTTACAAATTGCAGCAATTTCTTAATTTGCATTAACATGTTGACCATAAATAATTTCATATATAGGTGTTCAAAATAAAGCGTTATCTGGAAAACAATCTCAAATTTTTATGTCAAAAACACGAAATTTTTAGAAGAATGTTTCAGATAAGAATTATTTGATTTTATTTGAAGGGAGAAATATTACGGCATTTATTGTTTTTTATTTTATTTCTTAAGTCTTTCATAAAAATATCTTCAAACATTAGCTAACATCTGTGGTGTTATTTGTGTACAACGTATTTTATTATTCATCATATCTTCACGTGTTGTGGAAGCAGTTAATATAACACGTATGACTTTTATGAAGTTCCAAAGAAAAAACTAATGATATTAGGTCTGGTGGACGTGTTATGTCAACTGTTCTCACAACATAAAAATATAATAGATAGAATATATATCAAGCGCACAAATAACACCACGGATGTTAATTAATAAAGATGTTTTTGTGAAAGAATTCTAAAATATATTGAAGTGGAAGGACTTAATTTCGAACATTAATTTAATTGGACATTGATCGTTAATTCTTAAATATCCAGAAAAAAATGAAACAAAAAAGTAAATGTACTTATTGAATTTATTAGTTTAAAACATTTGTTATCGCTTGCACTTTTCTTCAGAAGTTACTAGTTATCACCATTTTTTAAATTCCAAAAGTATAGATATTTTGTTAAATACCTTAGAAAATTATAGATAAATAAAAAATATTTCAGACAAAAATTATTAATTGCTTTTTTATCTAGAACATGTTGCCATCGCAAAAAACGTAGATTCCTGTTTTAAAAAACGAAGTTAATTTTGAAATAAATAAAAAATAATAAATGCCATATTTCCTTGAAATCAAATAATTCTTATCTGAACCCTCTTTAAAAAAAAGCCATATATCCAAATTAAAAATTTATAACGTTGTTTTGAACACTTGGTATACAATACAAGCGTAATATACAAGTGTTTTAATACAAAGAATAGCGCGACGATTATTCAATAAAATTTGCACAAGTGTTGGTTTAATTAGATTAGGCTAAACCAAGAATGCAAAAAATATAAACATTTCAACACTATCTTTTATAAGTTTCTTTAATTTTTAGAAAATTGCATAAGATATGTTTATAATATATATATACAAGAAAATATAATATTAAGTGTCATGCTTAAGAAGTATTTTTTTAAATATAGAAGTTACCAAGAACATATATTACACATCGTGTAACAATGTTCGCAGAGACACATGTATCTATCAAAATCTTGGTCCTTGAAACTAAATTATCCTATTCATCTCCGCGAATCGCTCTGTATTTGGTTAGTTCATGCGGGAAAACTCGATTCAACTCTACCAGCATATTTGCCTTGAATTTCCTATAGGCATCTATTTTTCCTTTAACCTGTTCATTTTTCGTCAAAGCCTTTTCTATACAGTCTTTAGTATATAATTGAGGATTTCTCCCTTGGTCAATGTAACTAAAATGAGTATTTTTGTAATAATAGATTTGTCAAAAAAATAATTAATAACATCAATATTATTAGACTTACTCAAATACTTCCAATGGCACATGGACATCTTGTACCTGAGACTTTAGCTTGTCAATTTCTTGTAAGCCATTGACTAAACCTTGACTACAAAGAAAAAGATTTATTGAATTTCTAGATCAGTATTATTCAAGGTATTATAATTCTAAGTATTTGATTTGATGTGTATCAGTGTTTGCCTATTGTCTTTCTTTTTCCTGATGAAGATAAAAAAAGATAAAACAAGCATAAAGGCAGGTACATTTCTTAGAATCTAGACACTTCTTGTTCTACATTTTTTAAAATGAGTATTTCACATTTTAGTGATATTAATTATAATTCATGGTTAAACGAATATGAGATCTGTCCTTTTTAACTTCTTGTGCAGGATTCATCTTTTCTTTTTTCTCAAACATAAAGAGAAAAAAAAAGAAAGATGAATCGTGCAAAAAATTCAGCTAAGGAGAACAGATCTATGAAATCTCAGTGAGTGTGTGGATCATAAATTTATAGAGTATATCAGGTATTGCATGATGTGCGAGGTTAATTTATAAAGGTAACGTTTCCACACATGAATATACGAATATATGCATGTTACATGAGTACTCACATCTTCTGATTTAATACATTTTGCCCTTGAGGCTGAAAATCGCTCACTATAATGCGTATTTGTCGTACATTCTCGATAAACAATTCCAATTGAGCCTCGAGATTCTCTAAGGCGGACGCCATTTTTATCAGTTTGTTTACAGTCGCTTTTAGCACAGATGTCGTTCGTGTGATTTGCGATCACGTGACTTACTCTACTCTTACGGAAAGCGCCAAATTTCAATATGGAATTATCGTAAAGATAAAAACATATTAAAAGTAAAACATTAAAAATTAAATTTTTTGAAAATTTTGAAATTAGATATACATGTATTAAAAATAAAAAAATTAATGTTTTTATTTGAGGTAGAAAAGATACGAAATATCTTATAACTAAATATATATAAACATGCATAAAATACATAAAAACATATTTAGTACACATAAAGGCGTAATTTCACATAGCGTCAAAGCGCTAATTACAGTTAAGCGGCTATCTTTACTTTGTGACATTACGTTTCTTCTTCAAAAGAACCGTCGACAAAATTCCAGCCGCTAAAATTCTGCTACTTTTTCATGGAGCGACAAATTGCTAATTACTGTGGATTTATGATCATTAATATAAAATCGTTTTTTCTATACACTTAATTCATGTATGAAACTGACAATTAATGCATTTCAGAGTACGTTTAAATTGTTCGAGCAGTATTTTGTCAGTAACATTGCGAAATAGATTATTATCGGTAGTAGTTAAAAAAGTTAGGAAACAGCGAATGCTGGTGTGCAATTATACAAAAATTGCAAGAAAATGAAAAGAGCTGCAATTGTTCACTGTCATTGCCGAAATTCATTTTTTGAAATGATCGGTAACAATTTAAACACATCTACTTTTTGCTGTAGTTGGGCTTCTCCGAACTTCAAGCGGCAAAACGACGGCTTATAGGGAGTCACACACATACACACACACACACACACACACACACACGCGCGCGCGCGCGCGCGCGCGCGCGCACACGCCGTGACACGCACACGCCACGCACACGCACACACTTATATATCCTATATCTATATATATCATTTATACGTTATTATATACATAATTCGGCGTTTTAATCTTAAACTGACGGCATAGACATCCTAATTAATGAAAGTCCTACCTTTGTTATTAATTCTCATTATTCTAATTTGGATTTATATGGACACAAAACTGAATATTTGTTGTATAATAAATGTAGATTATTATATTTTAATAATCCTGATAAATGAATAGCAAAATATAGATTTATTGATAATTGATAATATCGATATTTATGGATGATAGCGATTGTAGATTTATATTTATCAACAGTCAGTAATATAAAAAACTAATTATTTTTAAAGCCATGTGTATATTGATAATCACAAAAATTCAGAGTTCCCCACGGTTTTAATAATATCTCATTAGTAATTGCCTTACTCTGGTATATATATATATATCCCTAACAATATAATTCACGAATGTAATTCATTCGTTTTTATTTCTTTCATTCTCAATTACTCGAATCCTATACGTATTTTCTTCATGCTCCACGTATCTCACTCCGTAGGAAAGACAGTGAAAGATAGAAACTGCAATGGCCGTCTAGAATACGTCTACCGAGCTGACGTGTCGTAGTATCTTTTCGTCATCCGAAATTTTATTCGCATTGAAATATGATTACGTTTAAGCGTGACAAAAAGGAGGAGGAGGATGGTAATTATGAATTAATATTCCTATTATTCTTAATGCGAGTGTTAATCGCGAGGGAGAATTAGAAGTCGCGTGTAGGTTATCAAGTAGTTTCTGACAATTACAAGTAAACACATTTTTACAGAAGTAACAAATGTTATAATAAGTATAGATATCGTATTATGTATCGAGTTTTGTAATAATTTCCTACGAGCATACATTTTCAAATTATACGTGTTTTAGATCTTATTAGAATTTAGTGTCTATGATTATTGAGTACTGACATATATCTTTCCTGTCTGATCAAGGTGGTGGAAATCCATTTCAAAACTTGGAGAAGACCACAGTTCTTCAGGAAGCACGTACATTTAACAACACACCTGTAAATCCGAGAAAATGTGCTCACATTCTTACAAAAATTCTGTATTTGCTCAACCAGGGCGAACAATTAGGTACGACGGAAGCCACGGAGGCTTTCTTTGCTATGACCAAGCTGTTTCAGTCGCGTGATGTTATATTGAGACGACTGGTCTATCTGGGTATCAAAGAATTAAGTTCCTTAGCCGAGGATGTGATTATAGTCACGTCCAGTCTAACGAAAGATATGACAGGAAAGGAAGATTTGTACAGAGCTGCCGCTATTCGAGCACTCTGCACCATCACCGATAGTAGTATGCTAGCAGCAATCGAGCGTTACATGAAGCAAGCCATAATTGATCGCTCGCCAGCTGTGTCCAGCGCTGCTCTTGTTTCTTCCTTGCATTTGACAAGCGTATCCAGTGACGTTGCAAGGAGATGGGCAAATGAGGCTCAGGAGGCATTAAATTGTGACAATGTGATGGTTCAGTATCATGCTCTAGGTGTCTTGTATCAAGCACGTAAGGCAGATAAGCATGCGGTAATCAAGCTGGTTGCGAAACTTATGAGGACAAGCCCAAAGAGTCCTTATGCGGCTTGCATGTTGATTAGAATGGCATATAAATTATTGGATGAGGTGGACGAAGGCGAGGAATTGATAGGATTCATTGAATCCTGTCTACGCCATAAATCCGAAATGGTGGTGTATGAGGCAGCGCATGCTTTGGTCAATCTTGGACGAAGCGGTGCCAGAGAAATTGGACCAGCGATTAGCGTTCTGCAATTGTTCTGTGGCTCGCCGAAGCCAGCACTTCGATTTGCTGCAGTCAGGACTCTCAACAAAGTCGCGATGTCTCATCCAGCGGCGGTCACAGCTTGCAATCTGGATCTGGAAAATCTGATCACAGACCCGAACAGATCAATTGCCACTTTGGCGATAACCACCCTCTTGAAGACCGGAGCAGAGAGTTCCGTTGACCGTCTAATGAAGCAGATCGCCACCTTTGTTTCGGAAATTTCGGATGAATTTAAAGTCGTAGTAGTCCAAGCCATCAGGTAAATTTCATTTTGCGAATTATATGATAATTTCGTTAATATGCATACCATTTCTTCTAAAATCTCTTTTTTCTCTCAGGGCTCTGTGTCAAAAGTTCCCTCGCAAGCACGCGGTTTTGATGAACTTCCTCTCGGCTATGCTAAGAGACGAGGGCGGGCTGGAATATAAAGCGGCGATCGCTGATACCATCATAGCCGTAATGGAAGGAAATGCAGAAGCCAAGGAAGCGGGACTCGCGCATCTCTGCGAATTCATCGAAGATTGCGAACACATCTCCCTCGCCGTTCGCATTTTGCATTTACTTGGCCAGGAAGGACCTACGTCGAAACAACCGTCGAGATACATCCGCTTTATCTACAATCGCGTTATCCTCGAAAGCGCTAGCGTGCGAGCAGCAGCCGTTACCGCATTGGCACGTTTCGCTGCCGCCTGTCCACCCTTACTTCCGAACGTATTGGTGTTACTCTCACGTTGCCAGTTGGACTCGGACGACGAGGTTCGCGATCGTGCAGCTTACTATTGTACGATTTTGCAGCAACAGAACGATCCGACTATATTGCCTCTGATACAGCCGCCTTTGCTGTCTATACCGACACTGGAAAGGGCCTTAAAAAATTACATACAAACATCCATGGAAGACTCATTCGACATTTCTCAGGTATTTTCTCCAATTTTCTGAGAAATTCGCTCATAAAGGCGAGATAATTATCTTCTATACATATACATAAGCATCTTGCAAAAAGATAAAGTCAACATTAATCATATTATGCTTATGTTTCTAATAATTAAAAAAAAATTTATTTGCATTTCTATTTTTAATAATTTTTAATAATTTCTATTTATTTCGATTTATTTCTATTTATTTCGATTTATATATATTTTATATATATTCGAAAAACTAAAAGTAAGTGAAAGCAAATGTAGCGATGAATGGAAAATGGAATTGTGTTATATATAAATTGGAGTTTTTTATTGTAATAACAAAAAATTTATATATATCTTTCATATATCTTTCTTTTTTAGAAAATTTCTGATTAATTTAAAAAAGAATTTTTAAGTTTATTCATATAATTGTTGCATTACAGATACCTCCAGCTCAGACGATAGAGGAACCAGCTCAAGTGGAAGTGCACACTACTATCAAGCAGCCTCGTTTGACCAGAGAAGAAAGCTTCATGGAGAAATTATCGCAGATCCCACATTTAGCCATGATCATCCAAGACACATCGCTTCTAAAATCCTCGCCGGTGTTTGAATTGACAGAATCCGAAACAGAATATAATGTCAAATGCATCAAACATACATTCCCTGAATATCTTATTTTACAGTTCGACTGTGTGAACACACTCTCCGATCAACTCCTCGAAGATGTGGTAGTGGCCGTTGAACCTCCCGAAAGGTAAATGCATTTATCGATTATAACATTGTTCCTTGCATTTTTCTGACACAATGTAACGAACTATTTATTTCAGTTACTCTATTGTATGCGTGGTATCGTGTCCTCGATTATCTTACAACGAGCCAGGAACCACCTATACAGTATTAAAATACCCAGAAGATATACAAGCGAGCGTCGTTACCATTCCCACGACACTTCGATTTATGGCAAGAGATTGCGATCCAACGACCGGAATACCAGATGCAGAACAAGGATACCACGATGAATATATGGTAAAAGATTAATGTGAAAATAATTCTCATATAAATATCTCTATAGGCAATGCATTAACACAAAATTAATTATGCTTTTCCTCATTGAGAGGAAAAAATACAGTCATTTAAATGATTATTCGTTTTATATTATGTTAAAACGAAATTATTATTCGCAAAATTAATATATGATTATGTATATGATTTTTTAGTTGGAAGATTTGGAAGTTACTGTAGCCGATCAAATACGTGGCGTTAGTAACAGAGGTATGGACTTTAATACCGTTTGGGATACATTCGCTGCAAAAGGATATGCCAAGTTAGAAGAAACATTCGCCCTGGGAGCCTCAGTGACGTCTTTAGAAGGAGCGATTCAAAGTCTTACGGGATTTTTGGGATTAGAAGCTGTCGAACGCAGTAATAAAGTACAGAGCGGAGCAGCTGCTCACATTTTGCTTCTAAGTGGCGTCTTCCGAGGAGGAAAGGAAATATTAGCACGTGCTAGACTAGCGCTAAGTGGAACGCAGGTTACGATGCAACTATCTGTTCTCTGTCAAGATCGAGAGGTCGCTGACCTAATAGTTTCGTCCGTAGGATAGAGATTGAAACAATGTAAGAAGTTTCGCAATAAGAGAAATATATATTTGCTGATTGCTGTAAAATAATTTATAATATAAGATTATCGTTATATAAATATACATTATTGAAGAAAACGCTTTGTATTTCTTTTCGTTAATATATCATGTGACTTTTTCTTAATACATTATCATAATCATTGAACAACCTTCTATTACTCTAGTATTCGTCTAAGAACACACATAATAATGATATTATGATAGTGTAGTTTTAGTAAAATTTTATATCGTTTAGTTCATTATTGATAATTGAAAAGATAATTTCTTTATAAAAAAATAAACTTATTTTTGTTAACATTTGTTTTAGCAGATTAAACGATTCATAAAGCAAATAGAAAAACTGACAACAATTATATTCGATTTCTTTTCACACATACATATATATTCCTTTCTGTAATTACAAAATTGTTCGTGCATTTGTACGAGAATTATAAAAGTGTTAAATAGTGTATAAATATATATTATTAGATATTTACAGAGTATTTTTATGCACGATGCGATTGCCATACACTTGTCATTGTCACTTGATTAACTTCTGAACGAATAAAATCAATTGTAAAAAAGTAATCTCATATCAAAGACGATAAATTCTCGCGGATATTTTATCGTCTTCAACATCAGATGAAGTGAATATTTTCTGTCCGACAAGTCTTATGACATTGTAAGGATAAATCATTTCCTTTTGTTTAAATTATCCCTACGTACGTCAATCGCGATAAGTAAATACTTACAAAATCTAACGCTACCATTACATCAGTTCTTTGTACGTTTCATACAATCAATTTTACATATGATCCCATTGATTGTTAAAAACTACTTTTAAAGCTGCATTTCATTTCAAATGCGTATGCACATTAAATAAGTTAGACTAGCTGTTTGCGCGATTGACAATATTATAAAATGAGAAGTGAAAATGATAGTTGTCTAAAGATTGCTGTAAGCTGCTCCTTATCAAGTCTTAAAATATAATATTAAATATTAGCCATTAGTATATATGCATAATCTGTTCTTGCCACTGAAAAAGACGCGCTACTATTTGTTATTAGAATAGCATATAAACTCACACAATTGATAATTTCGGAAAGATCACATAATTTCATACATTTAATCGACATTAACGTATTGACCTGTAACTGTAGCCGTTTGATGATATCTTCTTCTTCCGGAGAAATCCTCATTCTCTTCATTTAGTTGAGCCGAACACATTTGAACACCTGGATGCACAGGGGTTACTACTATCTGCTCGTAATCATAAACTTTCCTCCTATAACATAAAATACAAAATTTACTTCTAAAGAAATCTTTATACTATATTTTTTCTAAGCACTCTATAATCAAATGTAATCAATTTTTAAGAGAAAAAAAAGAAATGAATTATTTCCTGTTTAATTTCAATCCTTATAAGTTTTGAATTTAGCAATTCAAAATAATTGTATAATAATAAATAATGAAATTTACCCCATAATTCGAAGTAATGCAATTCGAAACCATTTAAAGAATTGGAATTCCGCAGAAATTCCAGGTTTTACAGCAGGGTTAGCGTGGCCGACATAACTCCAAACGAGAAATACGACGACAATATTAGCGATCGCATATCCCCAGTGTACGAGAAACATTATAAGTAATTTTACAAGGCACTGCAATGTGAATGTACTTACATTAATCTTTAATATAACTAGATATTTCGAGAATAGATCTCTTAACGTGAAAAAGTGATGTATTTCGGAGAAAGTAACGATTTTCTCAATGAATAAGTACTTACACCCAATAACGAAAACCATCTATTGCACAAAGGACTATACCAATTTCCTAGTTTATTATGGATGTGAACTTTTCGTTCTGGTGTACCGGAAACACTGACATCCTCGATACTCGGTGATGAATCCACATATACATTATTGTCAGAAATACTGTTGTTTCTCTGTATGTAAATGTCAGTAAATATTACTGGATAAATCTTCAAAAGAGATAATATGCTTTGGTGCATATGATTTCTTACCATAAGATTTTTATGTCTTATTCTCTCGGGAAACAGACTGTCCAAATCATTATCCATATCAATTAATGAGTTGTTCCTACTTGCGGAGCCATAATTGCGATCGAATGTCGGAGATTGCGAACGGAATCGTTGTTCGCGGGTGTGCCGAAGATCAAACGTTTGTGCGAGAGCAAAGTATGCATAATCTAAGCAGGCGTACGTTAACAGAAATGGCATTGTCACAATTGGAGCGAGTGTATTAATTTGTCCGGTAATGATGAAAGTCAACGTTACTACAGCAACAACTAGCATAGCGTATACAGGTACTTTATTTGGTCCTCTCTGAAAACAGAATTGTTATTCTGATAAATTATGATATAAAAGAATTGTATATATGAAAAAATTATAAATTTTCTTAAATGTGAAATAAAATAATCTCCCCCACTCTCTCTCTCTCTCTCTCTCTCTCTCTCTCTCT